GGGAATTTTTAAAAGGGAATTTTACACTAAATTCCCCAAGTTTTTTTTTTTTTCCCCTCATCTTTCTCATGTTTTAGATCATTTTGGAGTATAACCAGAGAATGAAGTATCTTCATAGCTAGGTGTTCAAGGACCATAAGAAAATAATGCCTACTCTCTATACAGTCAAAACACTATATAGTATATTCACTGAGCTTGTTGGTTGTATCACTTCAAATCTCTAATATATTTCCTTTAGCTTATTTGTGCTGTCAAATTTTTAAAGTGTTAAAATACTCCACTATGATCAGATTTTTATCATGTTCTCTTGGTATTTCTAGATTTCTTAAACTTTTGCTATTTGTTATATTGCTCGTCTATAAAATTTTTATTTAAGGAAATACAATTAGAATTGACTAAATGAAAAGAGACATACTGCACAACCGACTGAGCTGAATTGCCATCATATTAATGACGATTCTTCCTAAATTATGTGTGAATTTAATGTCATTCTGATCAGAAGCATAACAATGTTTCTTTCTTTCTTTCTGGGAGTAGGAAAAAACGACCAGAAAAACTGGTTCAAATGATATGTATTAGAATAAGTTGGTGAGAATTACCTTAAAAAAAAATCTTAAAAAATAAGAGTAGGCTGGGGGCTCAAGCCTATAATCTGAGCACTTTGGGAAGTTGATGTGAGAGGATTGCCTGAACCCAGAGGTTTGAGACCAGCCTGGGCAAACTTAGTGAGAACTCATCTCTACAAGAAATCAAAAAATTAGCTGGGCGTGGTGATATGCGCCTGTTGTTCCAGCTATATGGAAGGCTGAGGCAGAAAGATCACCTGAGCTCAGTAGGTCAAGGCTGCAGTGGCTGTGAGCAGTGTGCCATTGCATTCTACCCTGAGCGACAGAGTGAGATTCTGATTCAAAAAAATAAAATAAAATAAAATAAAAATATAAGAGTAATTGGGGTAGGGAGCTTTTTAAAAAAATTATGTGTTAAAATTATTATAATGCTACGGTAATAAAAATAGTGTGATACAAAAAATATAGAATTAATTGAAATGCAATAGAACAGATTCTCACATTGTGAGAAATTAATATATGATAAAAGCTGAATTTTATTTTACTAGTAAAAGGAAAGCTTATTTGATAAATGATAATAGCATAGTTAGTTATTTCAAAAATAAAAAGAATTCTATAGATGAAAGAACTAAGTGGAAAATGCAATTAATAATACTAGAAGGAATTCTAGGGGACTCTAGTCTTGAGGTGAAGAAATAAAGGAAAATATTGGTATGCTTAACTACATAAAAGTTTTAAAATTTTTTCTGGCAGTATACAACATAAATTACATCAAAATACTTTGTCAAACGTATGTGTCAATCTAAAATAATCAAAAGGATTAGAATCTAATTTAATGAGAGTTTATTCAAGCATAAACTATGAGAGTGGGCCACCCAGAAACACCAAATCCAAAGGAATGGAGTTTGCATTCCAAAGTAGGGAAGTCAGGGTTTCATATAAATGAAGAGTAGAGACATAGGCAGAGACAGAGAAATTTTTAGCAGGACTACAGTATTATTCACACAGCATTGGAATACAGTTACAGCAATTTGATTGGTTAATAAATGTTTATTTTTGGGAAGGGTGCATTTAACATTTTTTTACACAGAAGGTATTGTCGTCTTTGATTTCTTATTATCTAAGTAAAGCAGGACAACAAAGGAAAAGTTAATCTTATAACAGGCATCATTAATTAAGAAGGTAAACCTGTTGTGTAGTTCACGCCCAAAGGCTAAGGCAGGAAGATCACTTGAGCCCAGGAGTTTGGATGGCAGTGAGCTAAGATCTTGTCACTGTACTCCAGCCTGGGCAACAGAGTGAGACCTAGTCTCTTAAAAAAAAAAAAAAAAAAAGATACAGGTGGTTTTTGTTTCATTCTCTGTAGCCATTGTAAAAAACAAGAAAAATGAGAAAGCAAATTAATCTATAATCTGAGAACAGAAATTGTAACCATATGTGACTTAGATCACAGTCACTTCTATCTCAAGGTTTAATAACTTTTAAATATAATTTATTGAAAAAAAAATAAATTTGACAGCCAAAGATGTGATAACCCTAATTTTTTTTTTTTTTTTTTTTTTTTTTGAGTTGGAATCTCACTCTGTTTCCCAGACTGGAGTGCAGTGGCCACTCCCGGTCACCGCAGCCTCGACCCACTGGGCTCTGGCGATCCTTCTGCCTCCGCCTTCCGGATAACCCTAATTTTTAAACAGGAAAACAGAGAATCTAATAGAAAAATAGACAAGAATGTAAATAGGCAGTTCACAAAAGAGAAATGCATGTTGTCAAACAAAACACTAAAATGATGATCCATACAAGTATGCAATGAAATAAAAGTTTTCACATATCTGAAGGGCAAAATTCAAGAGGATGTAAACACATGAGATGCTACTTAAGTGATGAATAGCCAGCCCCCTTCGTGCCCTGTGAGAGTGTGTGAACTGGTGTAGTGCTTCCCGGCACAGCTTGTATACTTTGAGGATCTCACAGTTAGGTCTGTTCTACCAAAATAAAAGCGCAGAATTTACATGAAAGAAGATGTTTATCTTAACATATTTTTATTATAGCAAGATATTGAAAAATATCTATATGTCTAATTACAGGGAAAGGACTAAACAGATTGCAGTACATGTGTACTACACAGTATTTGACATCTATAAAAATAATTCCTTGGCCAGGCACAGTGGCTCAAACCTGTAATCCCAACACTTTGGGAGGTAAAGTGGGGGATTACCTGAGCCCACAGGTTCAAGATCAGCCTGGGCAACTTGGCGAGACCTCGTCTTTACAGTAAATCAAAAAATTAGCCAAGAATGGTAGCGTGTGCCTGTAATTCAGGCTACTTGGAAGGCTGAGGCGAAAGGATCGCCAGAGCCCAGCAGGTCGACACTGGGGTAGCTGTGAGTGTGCCACTGCATTCCAGCCTGGACGATGGAGTAAGACTCCAACTAAAAATAAATAAATAAATAATAATGCCTTAGGTTACATGTATTGATTAGGAATAATATTCAAGCTAGATTAATTAGAAAAGGAACCAATTTCAGAGGGATGTTAATATGATCACATAAAAACCTGTTTGTATGGTTATAGAGAAAGATTTGGAAGGATGAGCACACACAATATTGTTAGGGTAAATAGGATTGGGGGAGGGTAGCAAGAGAAAGTCATTTTTTTCTATAAACTTCTGTACTTTTGTTAGAAAAAGTTCAAAATATTAACATTCATTTATTTTTTTTAATCCTTTGGCTGTTTTAACCCTTCTGGTGTGTAATCACTTGTGTTGAAGCCTAGGATTAGCCTATTTGCTTTTTTTTTTTTTTAAAAAGAAGATGTAGCCTTCTCAGGAGAGGACCTAGGCTTCCACTCCCTAGCCTGAACTACTTTCTACCTGCTTTATGGTCTCTCTTATTTCTGTGAACCATCACTCCAGCCACCTCCTGGTCAGTGTCCTTAGTTTCTTTGCTCCTTTATATTTCATTTATGCTAGTCAGGCTGATAAATTGTGGAGAAAAATCACACAATTTTGTGATTTGCAACCTCAACTGCTCCCTTAAGATGTCTCAGCAGCTCTTGTGTTTTTCCTAGTTATTGCTCTTCTGAAATGTCAGTGGTGTCTCAGACATCTACCTCTTTCCCTAGTTCTTTAATGCTGCCACTTATTCTCATTAGTGGTAAGTGACTCTACCTCCTGCTCTGCAGGGATAATGGAAACTCCACAGACTACTTGCCACTAAACGTACAATGCCTTCCACCTTCTCTTTTGCTAAGGCAAACAGGCCACTTGTGCTGGGGATCCTAGCCCTACCTGCCTCCTTCTGGAGATGGGGGAGAGGGAGATGTGTCCCCTGTAAAGATATCTCTGCTGTCTTTTGTATCTCCTCTCCTTTTTCTCATTCGTACAACCCCAAGAGTAAATACAAGGTCTACAATGCCCACACCATCTGGTTCTTTGTTACCTCTGATTTCTCTGTGTTATACACATTCTTGTAGATGGATAGAAAGAAGGGAAGATATTTGGGTAGAATAATGAGAAAGCAGTATGAGCTAAAGAGAGTAAGGAGACCTCAAGAGTATAGATGAAAGAAATGATGTAACAAATCCCCAAACAGCCTTAATTCTTCCTACCCAGACTTGTGGAAAAGTAGAGAATATATTTCACTCTTACCTGCGCAAATGAAGGCTTAGTTGTTAGAACTGCCAAACTATACCATTGTGGTTTCTTAGTTAGAATTATAAGCCTGATTGCTATACTTTGATTTACGTGTTATATTCCAATTTCCTGAAGACAAATGAAAGATAAAACTTTATCTTTAGACTAGTGTTCCACTGAAAAGTAGGTTGGCATGTTGTTTGGCAAGTACTTAATTAAGTCTTTAATGTGCTGAAGTGCTTTGAGAATTTCGGGAGCAGGTAGATGCTGTGGGGTTTTCCAACTTTATGACCATAGGGTCCTTTGCTGTAGTTCTCTCTCACCACTTTCCCTAATCTATATCAGATGCCCCAAGGAAAGTAGTTTGAGACATGCTGAAGGACACAAACAAACATGAGGTACTAAAAAAAATAGAAAAGGAAAAATCACTTTGCATGATATACAGAAATATGACTATTAAAACTTTTTATGCTCTTAAAATTGGTTTGTGTGCTTTTCTGAGTCGGCACGCTGTGAAGATGGCAAATGATATTTTTAAAATGTAACTTTGGGGCAACCCCCTCGGGTCCCCTCACACTTTTCTGTCTTCTTGATAAATCCTGCTTTCTCACTTAAAAAAAATGAAACTTTGACTAATGATAGTTTGGAGGAAATAAACTTTTGTAAATAAGCATAAGAGAGTTTTAGTGTGGCTAAAACTTTTTGTAGTACTAGGAGGTTATGATGGTATGTTACTCTTAAGGTTTTATGAGGATTGCCCTGAGTTTGTTATTTGCATCATGTTTTCTTATCCTCTTTTCCAGCGGCAGCCATTTAGGAGGCCTGGTTACAGTGTTATGCTTCTTTTTCAATCATGGAGAGGTATGTAATCGAAAATATTTTTAGAGTCACTCCTGGAAATGCAAGCTTCTTCTTTAAATTTATTTATTTATTTTTATTTTTAAAATTTTTTTATTTATTTAATTTTCTTAATAATTACTTTATTGATCCTGCCAAATAATGTTTTATTTTTATTTTTTATCAATATTTTTTATTATGATATTGTGGGGTACAGTTAAGGGTTAGGTATATAGATATGCTTCGTTCAGGCACCCTTGTTGATAAGAGGTGTCTCTCCATCCCCAGACAGATATTTACTAGTGTTAATCCCATCTCCTTTCTCCTCCCCCCCATAGTTTCCCACCACTGTCAGTCATTTTCTTATACTATTACATTGGATGTTCAGGGTCTACTATATGAGTAAGAACATGTAATACTCAGATCTTGGTTTCTGTGAGAGGTCACTCAGTATTATAGACTCTAGTTCCATCCAGGTTGCTGCAAAATCCATTATTTTGTTCTTTTTAATGGCGACGTAGTATTCCATCGTGTATATGTACCACATTTTTTTAATCCAGTCCTCTTTTGATGGACAGCATGGTTGCTTCCAGGTTCTTGCTATTGTGAACAATGCTGCGATAAACATACGTGTGCAGGTATCTTTTTTATAGAGTGATTTGAGTTCTTCAGGGTATATTCCCAGTAGGGGGATTGCGGGGTCATATGGGAGGTCAATATTTAGAGCTTTTAGGAATCGCCATACTGTTTTCCTCAGAGGTTGTACTAGTTTGCACTCCCACCAACAGTGTAGAAGTGTTCCCTTTTCGCCATACCCTATCCAGCAACTGTTATTTTTTGAGTTATTGATAATGGCCATTGTGACTGGAGTTAGGTGGTATCTCAGTGTGGTTTTGATTTGCATCTCCCTGATGATTAGTGAGGTTGAACATTTTTTCATGTGTCTGTTGGCTGCTCGGATGTCTTCCTTTGAGAAGTGTCTGTTCATATCTTTTGCCCATTTTATAATGGGGTTGTTTGTTTTTTTCCTCTCAGCACATTTGAGTTCCTTGTAGATCCAAGATGTTAAGCCTTTGTCAGACCTGGAGTTGACAAATACTTTTTCCCAGTCTGTAGGCTGTCTCCCTGCTCTCTTGATGGTTTCTTTGGCTTTGCAGAAGCTTGTCAGTTTAATGAGGTCCCACTTGTCTATCTTATCTCTTATGGCCTGTGGGTTTCGGGTTTTGTTCAGGAACTGGATGCCAGTTCCAATTTCCATGAGGGTATGTCTTTCATTTTCTGAGGTTCTTATGGTTTGAGGTTTTACATTTAGGTCTCTGATCCATTTGGAGTTAATTTTTGTGTATGGGGATAGATAGGGGTCCTGTTTCAATCTTCTGCATGTGGTCAGCCAGTTTTCCCAGCACCAGTTACTGAATAGGTTCTCCTCTCCCCAGTGGTAGGTAGTGGAGGCTTTGTTGAAGATGAGTTGGTTGAGAAATTGAGGTTTAGCTTATGGAATCTCAGTTCTATTCCATTGATCTATATGCCTGTTCTGTACCGATACCAAGCTGTTTTGATGATTGTAGCTTTATAGTGGGATGCAAGACTGGTTCAACATTCGTAAAACCATAAATGTAATTAAATACATCAACAGATGTCAAAACAAAAACCACATGATTATATCATTAGACGCAGAAAAAGCTTTTGATGAAATCCAGCACCCCTTCTTGATAAAAACTCTCGAACAGCTAGGCATACGGGGAACGTACCTCAAAATAGTAAAAGCCATCTACAAGAAACCCACAGCCAGTCTACTCATAAACGGACAAAAACTGGAACTATTTCCCCTGAAAACTGGAACAAGACAAGGATGCCCACTCTCACCCCTCCTGTTCAATATAGTATTGGATGTCCTGGCTACAGCAATCAGAGAAGAGAAGACAATCAGCGGTATTCAAATAGGAAAAGAGGAAGTCAAGCTATCTCTCTTTGCAGATGACACGATCATGTACCTTGAAAACCCAACAGAATCTGTCAAAAATCTCCTTACACTGATAAAGGACTTTGGCAAAGTCTCAGGATATAAAATAAATGTGCAAAAGACAATCTTTACACCAATAATAAACAAACAGAAACCCAAATAAAAAGCACAATTCCATTCACAATAGCCACAAAAAAAATGAAATACCTTGGCATCTTCCTAACCAGAAACATGAAAGACCTCTACAATGAAAACTACAAAACACTACTCAAAGAAATCAAAGATGACACAAACAAGTGGAAAAATATCCCATGCTCATGGATTGGAAGAATCAACATTGTGAAGATGTCCATCTTACCTAAGGCAATCTACAGATTCAATGCAATACTCATCAAATTACCAGCAACATTCTTCTCAGACCTAGAAAAAACAACACAGGAATTCATATGGAAACACAAACAACCAAGAATAGCCAGAACAATCCTCAGCAAAAAAAAACAAAGCAGGTGGTATCACATTACCAGACTTCAATCTTCTCTAAATTTAATCTGTAACAGCATTCTTTAAACGTTTGATCTTATTATTTTGATTCAAAATTTAAGTACTACTAGCATTCGTTTAAGTTAACTAAATTCCTAACCATTCCATGACTATTTTTACCTCTGCTGTGATGTGACTTTCGGTAATTTGAAGAAATAGTGGGTCTGTATCAATTCTTTTTATAATTTTAAAACTGTGAAAGCTTACATTTTAGTAATAACAAATAAGCCAGTAATAAGTATCATTAACTTTCTTATATGGGGATACTTTTTTTGTTGCAGAAGATACATGGTATGTTGCTTTAATGTATTAATTTTTGGCATACTTTTAAGTATCCTTTGCAGAATATTTTATTATACCTATATATTTGCAAGTGTCCAAGGGCTTTCTAAAGAGAGCAGCATTGTAAAGAATATAGGCTCTGGATCCAGTCTGTCTAGATAGGCTCTGGATCCAGTCTGTCTGGACCCAGTCTGTCTGTCTGGGTTCAAATCCTGACTCCCATATAGTGGCTGTGTGACATGAACAAGTCATTTAATCTCTCTGCCTTAGTTTCCTCTTTGTCAGTAGGTATGTTGATGTTACTCAGCTCATAGGATTATTGAGGAGATTAAATGAAATCATATGTGCAAGTGTCCATAGTGTTTGCCACATGCTAACTGCTATGTAGTTGTCATTATTAACTAATTTACTCACTTTTAATTCTAATATAAATTCAAAGTGCCAATGAATTTCTTCCTCTAAATTAATTACAGTTACAAGTGAATTTCTAGTAATACATCACTGTCTAGATTTCTTTCATTGTAAGTTTTGTATGGGGGAAAATTAAAAGAAAAGTCAACTTGTTTTATGTGAAATAGCCTCATCCTTTCTTGCATTTATATACTCAGTGTCTTCAGTATTTATTATGCATGTTACAAAACTCTAAGTGTAATCATATTCAAACTTAATGCAGAGTCAGTGTGGAACTTTTTTTTTAAATCAGTGATTATTGATGGATATTGAACTAATATGTACTTAGTATTTAGAGTCACAGAAGTGTAAAGCTAGAGTGCCTTGTAGATTAGAGTATTTGATGAATTATTACAACATGACATTAGTAAGTTGGTACAGTGTGAGTTTCAGCCCCTCCCCCCAAAAAAGAAGAAAGAAAAAAAGAAAGATGTGCCTTTTCCTGACTATGGATGTTGCACATTGTGGTAATGTGAACCATGAAACATTTTGAAGCACAGATTCTATGAGAATGACCTAAGAAATGGGAAATAACTGCTTAATAATGGAAGAAAGGAGCATTGTGTGTTAACAATAAGATGTCAGAGGAAAGGGATTATCTAAAACATTGGAGCCAAGATCCCTAGAAAGACCATTGTTTATTAATCATGGTGGTCTATTTTTTTTTACTGTCAGTGTATACTAGGGCTGTTCTTCTCTTATGTTTTTCTTTTACTCTTAATATTGATGTAGTATGAACATTATTCTTTACAAAGTCTTCTTAATTTTTAATAATGGAATTCAGACTATAGGGTTTTTTTTTGTTTTTGTTTTTTTATGTTGATGAATTGTCTTTTGATACTTGCTCGGTGTCGCTGAAAAGCATGCTTAGATATCATTTTCTTAGGAAAAGGCAAACTAAATATCATTAGAATTAGAATTTCAGTTTTACTGAAATAGTTAAGTAGATAATTGTACTTAATATGTAACTGTAGCTTTAGGGTAGAAAAATGACTCTCTTATGTAATGAGCTATATTAAATTGAGAGCATAAACCACAGCTTTTGATAAAATATTGGTGAGAACTCAAGTAATTTAAAACTTTTATTATAATTTTAAATATATTTTGGTTTTCAGGTTATGAGATTTTTCAGACCCTGTTTTTTTCCTGGTTTTTAAAAATGTTGCCCTGAAGTATATATATATAATTTTTTTATATGAGGAAAACATCTTCCCTGGTAGTACCTGTTCATGTATTCAGTGAACTTTCATAGCACATTGGTCACTGGACTTGCTAGTGGGTTACTAATTAGTATGCTACTTGCTTGGAAGAGTTACTTTTAATCACATGAATGGTTTATGTGATAAAATATAGTTGTGAATTGTTGCTTGCTTTTAGGTTCTAATTTCATTATTTAATTTGCTCTCTACTGAACTCTAAGGCTTTTTAAAATGTTCTTTTCCCTCGGATAGCGTTATAAAGGACAAATTTTGCCTTAACAAATAAACTATAAAATGTGTAGCATAAATAATCAAATTATTTAAAACAAGAAATTATTTAAAACAAATTTGGAACCTTAAAATCTGAAACTTATGAAAATATAATAAAGGCACTGATAATAATGATCAATAATATTGAGGCTGCACATTCTATAATAAAAATTATGCAGATTGGTCAAGCTTCTTTATTAAATGTTCGTTCTGTCACCATTGAGAATTATTGCTAAGATGAAAACTAACAATTTTGTTCTGCTATTAAAATATTTATTTGTGGAAGATAATATGCATGCAGCATGCATTGATGTTGCAGA